GATTACTTACTTTCCAAGTAAGGAGGTTTAACATGTACCAATCTTTGAGCATTGTCAATGCCCTGTCTTGATAATACAATGACCAAGAACAATTTTAGGGACATGGCTTTGATGCATAGTGATCTCATAATTGTAACAATTTTACAATTCTCTTGCAAGGCCTTTATGTTCCATGGGCTTTATCGAATTAGTACTTAATAACTCCTTATTATTGCATTAACATGAAAGAAAACCTCTATCATATAAAATTATGCGATTAGATCTGCATTAAATGACAATATATATTTTTTGACCAATCTAATTAGCTCAAGGGCATACACCAATAGTTATTACGTGAAAGAGGGTCCACAGGATTGATTATCTATGATTACCTACTTGAGAGTCTTGAGAGTTTTTATACTCGTACTCTGTGCATGATGGAGAGATATTGTTTTTCTGCAACTCCTTTTTTTAATTGAAAGCTTTTAGTGCTTTATATGTTGATCATAATATGTGGATGTACTCAGTTATTTTTAAATGCCACACGATTTGGGAACGTGCGTGTTTTTGTATAGCCATTTGTTTTTGTGAAAGAAATAAATGATTTTGACGATTGAAATGTGTTTTACTATGCTTTGATTTCAACGTTGTTTGGCTTACAAGGCACAAATACCTTATTTATTATTTGGTTTTGTAAGGTTATCATATTTTACTCTAGTTTTATCCTTCAAATTATCTGCTCTAAGCTTGTTTCCCATCTACACCCTGCTCATGGAGCCGATGATCACTGAGTCTATGAGACTCATCTCCCCTTATCTCCCCTTTTGCAGATAAGTGATCGACCTAGTGTGCATTCATCGACATATATTGTCAACCGAGGATAGGTAAAGGTATCTCATAGCACTTTATTTTAAGTCACTCTGTTGCTAGAGTTCAAGTCGATTATAGTGTATTTGTTTGTAATGGTCATTGGTTTGAGTGTGAAAGTGTATAATTCGAAAATTATAAACCTTGATGTATTTTTACAATTATGTGGAACAAAGGTTAAATCAATTTATTACGATTTTTGTTCAAATCATATTCCAAAGAGTTATACGATTCAAAGCAATTACATAAATTGGTATAATGCGTATAAAGTATTAACAAAAGTTTCAATTAAGGCTTGTTTGAGATTTGACGAATTCTCTTACAAGACTTGAATGTCGATAGCAATCGAGGAGCGATTGTTACATATCATTGAATAAAGACATGTCGTGCCCTTTAGCCTAAAAATAAAGACAAAAAAAACTCATTCTTACTTTATAGCATAGGAAAGCCCACCACAAACCAATAGAGAGAGAAACCACACTTTTGAGCCAATATAGTACCAGTAAGGAGAGGTGTGGCAGTGGATGGTTGGCTTAGATAAAGAAGGAGTCTTGAAGAGAGAAACAACAATGGTTTAAATACCTAGGCTTAATTAGGTATTATATGGGAAAGTAATTTTTTATATTATGAAGGGACATTTTGGTCTAATCAATTTATAATCTTATTCCCACCTTTCTGGAATAACCAATACCGAGGGGGGCTCAATATTAGCTATTCAAGGCTTTCTTGGAATGGCCATTCAATCCAACCAAATATATTCTTTAGTTGGTAATTGGAAAAGGGAGAATGGCTATTTCATTCTCCCCAACTGAGCATGTTGTTAAGGTATGTGTGGTTTGCAGAATGGAATAGAGAAGGAATAAAATGATTATTTTATGAGAATGAAATAAAGTAGAAATAGTTACTGTGTAGTTTGGTTCATGAAATGGAATATGGTAAGAATGGCTATTATGACCTATTCCAATTTTTGGTTGGTGAAAGCAGTTTTGGAATAGCAAAAGAATAAGTGATAAAAAGATAAAAATGCCTTTTGTTATAATATTTAATTTTTAATTTAAAATATTTATATTTTAATAATTTATTAAAAATATTTTAAAATTATTATTTAAAATTTTAATATGATTGTTTATTTTTATTTTATTTTTAGAATGTTAATAATTTATATTTGGCTAAATATTCAAATAAATTCCTAAATTATACCAAAATAGTCAATTAAGCCCATATTCTCTTATTGTGTTTAGATAAGCCCCTGAACTTTTATTTTGACTCAAATAAGTATCTTTTAATAACTATTGACTAACTTTTGTTAGATAATGGTACAATTGACAATTTTATCTCATGTGGTGTGTTGATGTGTCATTTTATTTGATTTGTGCAAACTTATATTAATTTCCATATTAAAGAGAAACAACAATCCTTCTCAAAATTAAATATTCCTTTTTCTTCTTTTAAATTTGCAACACCCTTTTTTATTATCTCTTACCTTAGTAAATTATGTACCAAAACTTTTCTTCCAAAAGAAAAAAAATGAATATTAAAATCCAAAATGATGAACAATCCAGGCTTGTTTGATGATGCCACTAATGCTGAGAAAGAAGTTGTTAATATCTTGTTATAACTATCTAGGCTTTTGATGGAACCTTTAGTTTAACGATGGGGATTTAGAGTGAAAAAATTAGCCTTTCTCTTTTAGATCAGTCCATCTGCCTTCCTATAGCTAATCATATTGTTGCTTTATAGTTGGAAACTCTTTCATGTAATGGTGAAAATGAGAATTCGAAGCCTAGTATTGATGATCAATATATCCCATTATTGAAGAGAAATATTTTTCTGAAATCAAAGTTAAACCTCCAAGCCTTAAATGAAGCACTCCTTATAATCCCCAACACAAGGTTATAAAAATAAAATTTAACCCTTCCCCTAAAATTCATTATATTGAAAAACAAATACAAAATTAAAGATGAATCTCCCAAATCTGAAGTAAATATTCATCCTGAAGGAATTATGATCATGAAAAAGATTTGCAACAAAAGGTATTCTCAAACGTTTTCTCACTTTGATAATCCTTAACCCATGAGATTTGGATATTTTGTTAAACCCAATTCCTTTTTTTATTAAAAACTTTATTACATGTTAAGAACGATGGTAATCAAGATTTAGTTTGAAGAAATTATTTTTTTAAAATTATTTTTCAAATCTCTAACTTAATTATTTTGGACATGTGGATGGGTAAAAGGGAGAAAATCCAATTTCTAATTATTAAGTTTTATACTATCACGTCATCTGCCACGTGACATTGATGTCATTAAGATGATATGTCAACATGCCATGTGGCAGATGACATGGTATAAAATTATTAATTCTATAATTAACTAATGAAATTTAGTCAATAGTTAGTGAAAGGTATTTATTGACTCAAAATAAAAGTTTAAGAGATTATTTGAATGCAATAAAAAGATACGGGTTTAATTAATTTTTTTGATAAATCCCAAAGGTTTATTTGGATATTTAGTTTTTAGATTTCATTTAAAATATTAATAATTTACAATTAAAATATTAATACCATTATTTTATTTTATTCGTTGTTTTTAAAATATTAAAAATTTATAATCAAAATTTTAATTTAATTTTTAAAATTAAAATTATTTTTTTTGTAATTTATAATTAAAATTAAAATTTTAATTTAATTTTTAAATTTAAAATATTATTTTCACAATTTATATTAAAATTTTAGTTTAATTTTGAAAGAGAAGGAGGGAGGCAAACGAGTAGAGAGAGAAAGAAAATGTGAAAATGAACCAATTGCATCTTATCTAGAAAAGGTAATTTTCAAAATTGATTAAAGATAATTTTGTACAACAGTATTGTTTTGTCTATTCCCCATGTGTGGAATAGTCTCAATAATGGCTTTTTTGGTTTCTCAATAGAATGACCATTCAATGAACCAAATGTAAGAATAGATAAGTATAAGAATAAGGCCATTCGCCCAACCACATATGTTGTTAAAGTTTTTAAAAAAAGTTAACTAAGTTTTTATTTTTTTGTTATATTTAATTAAATTTTTATATTTTTATTTTAAACTAAATAAGTCTTTGTAATAATAGTTGACTAACTATCATTAATAAAAACGCCACTTCACATTTTATGCTATGTAATGTTGATGTGCCATATTAATATATCATTGTGGACGATAACGTGGTCAATTGATGTGATATAATGACGTGATCATATAATATTTTTTATCATCTATGCGTTATATTAATATAAATTAATAAGTGATATTTTGATTAATAACAATTAGTCAAATGTTAGTTATAAAGGTGTATTTGATTTAAAATAAATATATAAAGCCTTGTTTGAATACAATAGAAGAATAAAAACTTATTAAATTATTTTAAATAAATCAATAATTATTTATAGTATTATGCCTTTATATTTCCTTCTTGATAAATATTTTTTGGGTAAAATACTTTCATTTCCTAAGTTTTGATCGAAATTACACGAAGTCCATTAATTTTCAAAATGGATACTTCGTCCTAAGAATACAAACATCGTTAATAGAAGTTATAAAAAAACTAAAATACTATTTTTATTAATTTAAAAAATTATTATTATTTTTTAAAAAATTAAACAAATAAAGAAAACTAATCAATGCTCCCTAGCTCACCAAGGAAGGGGAGCATCGGCCGGTGCTCTCAAGAGAAGGAAGCACCAGATTAGTGCTCCCAAAGAGAGCTCTATTGGGGCTCCCAAGGAAGCTCTGGTGCTCTCACATAAGGAGTTTTTTTTAATTAATAAAAAATAAAAAATGTAATAGTAATTATAAAAATGAATTAAAAATAAAATTATTTTTTTACTCTTGTCTCGTCAAAAAGTTGACGAAAATATTAATAATTAACTAACGATTAGACTTATATGTTCAATAAATAATATTTTTTAAAAATAAAATATTTATTTTAAAAATTAATAAATTTTCGTATAATTTAGGTCAAAATGTAAAAGATAAGGATATTTTATTTATTTTTTTTCATGGTGGGGCAAACTTTAAATATTGTGTATCCAATGCCCCATTTTGTAATTCCCCCAAGAGAGTATGATTTAGGCCCGGGCCGAGATAAGTGGAAGTAGCCTACTCCCAAGGACAAGGGGACCCGAATGCAAGGTGTTGTGTTTCAGTATTCAGTCCAAGAGACCAGCCCAAACCAAACCGAACGAAGCCCGTCGTAACCGCAACGCGGCAGCTTCCATTTTGTTGTTGTTGGTGCGGAAGACAACGAGGTTCTTCTTCACTTATATGAATTGATCCGATCAGAATATCCGATTCTTAAAAAAATTTGTAGTGAACTTGGGTGGATTGTTTCTGGATCTGTTTCTCGTTTTTGTAAGATTATAAAACAAAATTGATTTGAAATTGACAATCAGAATAAGCGCGATGGTTTGGAAGATATTTGTAGTGGTGGTGGGTTTGGTTGCAGCAGCTCAGATTTCATTGGCATCCTCGGTACCTGCTTTTCTATGGTCTCCCGGGTAAGGTTTCTTTTTTATGTTTTTTCCCGGTAATTCCCTAAATCCCCGCGTGGATCGAAATCATAGCTACTTAAATCTTCTTCTTACAAGGTGCAAATTGGGATCTTATTTTCTTTGGAATGATTTTGTTGTGCTTACAGGTTCTCTAATATTGAAGTGAAGGAATCTGTAAATTATCAGATCATTTCCCCCAAGGATCTAGCCAACTCTGTCCTCTCTCAAGGACGCTGGTCTGATTTACTGGTTGCACTTTCCTTCCCTTCAATTTTATAATCACAGTTTGAGTTTGCTAATTGCCTTGATAAATTGGCACTTTCCGTTTTGATTTTTTCTGTTTAATTTTTTTGGCAGTGCTCCGGAAGGAAACATGAGCACTCTGTTGATCTGGCAATTGTTTTTGTTGGTAGAGAGGTAAGATTCTTGGAGTGTAAATTACTATTTTCAACGCTTCATATGTATTCATAAGCATCTTTTTTCATAAAAAATCCCTGCATATAGCTATCTCCTTATCTCCAAAAACAAACTCTAGCAATAATCGGAATAAGCGGCTTCTTCTTTAAAATTTATTGTTATTTCAGCTTTACTTGTATTGTGCAAACTAATTTTGATAGTGTAGTGTTACTTTCTTTTCACAAAATCAAGAATCCAAGCATGTTGGATGATGTAGTAGAAACAAAAGTACAACAAATTTGTCGATATTTTCATGTCATGATCTTCATAGAAATATGGTCGCGGTGATGGTAATGCTGTTTCAGCTCATGGATGTCTATTTCAATACTCTCACTGCATACAAGCTCATGCCAATACTTTCAGCCTATATAAGCTTTGTTATTTATTTATTCTTTTCTTAAAGGAGTTAAAGGTGCATTTAGTTCACTTTTGCATTGTGATAAACAGCAATCCCTTCTCATATTCATGTCCACATGACTTATAATATATTGCCTTTATTCCCTGTAGTTGCACTCTTCTGACGTGGCTCGAAACAAACATGTAGATCCTGCTCTTGTGAACTTGCTTAAGGTAACTAGGAGCCACCTGATTGCAATTTTCTTCTTTTTTATTAGCTTTATTAGTTGGGGTAATAATTAGATTAGATTCCCATTTTCTTCTTTTCGATTACTGATCCATGCTGCTGAACAGGTCTCTTTTACCAGGTCCAATTTTTCAATGGCATTTCCATATGTTGCTGCCTCTGGGGAGGAAACAATGGAGAATTTGTTGTTTTCAGGTTTTATGGAAGCTTGTGGGCATGGTTTGGGAGTCAGTAATGTTGCATTTACAGAATCGTGCTCTATAGAGGGTGGAGATTTCCAGAAACTTGCAAACTTGCATTCAGTCCAAGTAAATTAACTTCTATAATGTTATCTTAAATGCCTTTCTACAGATGAGTTGGTGTGATAAAGATTTTAATATCTTGTTTTCTTCCTATTATTAATTTCTTCACAATTTTTCTATAAACAACAAATAGGAACATCTAGTTTCAAGAATGGAAAAGAGAAGAAAGGGGGAGACTGATTTGGTTGTCCTATGCCGTGGAGGTTCTCATTCTTTGAAAGAGCTTGGCCAAAAACGCCCTGAGAGTAAGCTATGTTGGCATGTGCATTATTTGATTGAAGATATATTACTTTAAAAAGTATTTATTCTTATTTTTTTTAAAAAAATTATATGCAGGTGAGATAATATCTGAAGTTATCAGTTCTGTGGATCAGTCTGGGACAAAATATGCAGCTCTTTATGTTTCCGATCCTTTTGAGTCCATTCATTATCCTGCTTATAGAGAGCTTGAAAGGTTTCTTGCTGAAGGTACTGCAGGAAATGAAGGAAATGATTCAGCCCATTCCACAGGCTGTGATGAGGTTTGCAAGATAAAATCATCACTCCTGGAGGGAGTTTTTGTTGTAAGTTACTGTACTTGCCTTCGGCACTTTTCTCTTACGTCTGATTTAACAATGATGCTTTTCTTGTTCTTATATGGCTTTATTATTATTATTATTATTATTATTATTTTTCCTCCACTGTCGCATAAGGGAAAACCATTAATTTTTTTAAAATAAATAAATAAAAGTTTTCTCGTGTCTGGTAATGGTGGGTGGAAGAGTAAGCATGGTGTTGACTGCTGCTGCTTTTTCTAACACTTTTCAATAGAGTTTGTTTTTTCTTATTTAAGTGTTATGATTGCTTTTGTTATATAAGTGTTTCTTCTGGTGTTATTTTTTGTTTTATGCATACAAGTGTCTCCATTATGATATATATGGGCTTCTGATATGGTTGCATTGCATGATTTTCAGGGAATTGTGTTGCTTTTAATTTTAATATCGGGTCTTTGCTGTATGATGGGCATTGACACTCCAACAAGATTTGAGGCACCCCAAGACAATTGATCGGCTGTTTGTGCAATTTGGCATCTTTATGTTGTATTGAGGCTTCTGTCCTAGGCGCAGGTGGAAGGTATTAGTTGTTAATAGTTGCAATGGGCAGGGATGTTACACTGTAATATTTGTTAACTCTTAAGTTCATTTTATTATGTTGGTAATAAGGAAGATACTTTTTTTTTTGAATGTTAGTTTTGATTTGCTTATTTCTCTGGTTTGTTTATGAATTAGAGATCTTGCTTTGAGTAGGATTTTGTTGGGTGGCTTTCACTTCACAGGCCTTGTTGACAAAGTAATTAATGTCATTGTAAAGAATAAATTTCTGGAAGAGATGGTTATAACCATTTGTCTGTCAATTTCTTTGAGACTAACTTCTGATATTTAGTAATTCAAATTCCATCACTGTTTAAGCCGATGCGAAGAACTATATTATTTTTCAGTTGATTAAGTACTTGACTCTTCCTGGCCTGTAAGGTGCCATTTTGAATGCATTATTTTGAGTGCCATGTCTATTATCGGAGATTTGTTTAATGTTCAAGGTCTTCTAGCTGACAAATCTTTGGAAAGCTCGTGATTCCAATTGTTGTTGCACTCTCTGCTGCAGATGGCAGAAGCCAACCTTTTCCCTATTTTAAGTCCATGAAGTTGGTCTTCTATGCTTTTATGAGTATGGCTGTGTATACCATCAGTTGTTTGATCAGATTTCCAGATGAATAGCTAGCAATTCGCTTGTGTGCTTGTATCATGTATGTTTCTTTAGCTTTTTAGAATACTACATCCTGATATGGTTTGTTACTGATACATTTGACTTTCCTGATACAAGGACCAAAAGTTTAACCTTTAGTTTTAGCCCATTGCTTAGCAGATAGCAATGAAATACGTATGAAGAGATCGTGTAAGAATTGGAAGATCTCTGCTTAATTTGTATTAATATTTATTAACTGTTATACCCTTTCATTTTTTCACACAGATTTTGTCAATTGTTTTCCTAGTTTGTGCTGCTCGAGAAATGATTGTACTTTTGGGTGTTTCCTCTTCTCTAATGCTAAAAGTAGATGATGGTGAACATGAAATTCAACAGGAGCTGATGTTTGATTATTCACTTTAATCTCATATTATGTGTAAAACCTTTAATCTTTTTTTAATGGTTAGAGATATGGGAGTAAGATTTAAAAGCAAATGATGATTATGAAGTCTAGCAATTTATTGTGAATAAGCCATGACAATGACTCTAAGCGGTGGCTTTCCAATGTCTATATATGGATGTGGACGGTTTCTTATTTTGCTTTCAAATTCTGCTGCTTTCACAGGCCGCCTGCGATTATGACTGCAAATCTTTTCACTTCACTTCTAATTTTACCTTTCTATTTAATTGTATGGCTGTAGTAAGCCTGTGACACAGAGAGAGAGAGTTTTGTTGTAAGCACTAGCAGTGCATTATTCCATCGGAGAAGTGAGCAGCCCATCTTTCGACGAATTAACTCATCAGATTGCACCACATATTATCTTCACCAGTGTTTCAAACTGCTCCTACTTGCTCTCCCAGCCCACTCATTGCATTTGATTATTTGAAAGAGACCTCTATGTGACCTTGTTACAGTCAGAGTATGTGAGATTCCTAAACCATCTAGCATTATTGTTTCTGTCCTTTTGTAATTCATATTTTTGGAGTTGCTCCGAAGATGGTAAATATAATGCTGCACGTGAATACCATTTCTGCACTGCCACTGCCAGCAATCGCTAGTGCCATACCTCCACTGAAACCATATCCCTCTCTTTTCTATCTTCCTCTTTCCCCCCTCAAAGTCACTGTCTACTGTATCGTAAAATATTGCTCTCAAACTCACATACCAAGGCAGGTTAGTTGCGTATATGCTTAGGGCATTAGGCCATGAATCTCACACTACATTGACAGTCACCCTCTAACGCTTTGCTTCCTGATGCCGCAGACTGTACAACCAAGTAGGGTTTAATATCATTTTTTAATATTTTCCAAATCTTTTTGGCAAGTATTACCTCGAGAGTAGTGGGAATGGGGAGGAGGAGATGCAGAAGAACCTTATCTCTTCAACTCCTTACTGATTTGGACCATATATAATCACATGCTCATGGATCGTCTCTGCCTATTTCTGTTTAACAATTGAAAAAATTACATTCTCTCTCGTCATTCGTCATATATCAAAACTTGGCGGTCCCTAAACAATTATTATCCTCTCATCTGTGGTCTTGCCTGTAGGCACAGAAAGTGAAGTGCAGCCAAGGATGACTTGCCGATTCTCTCTCTTGTATCCATTCAGTTTTACCAACACCAGCAACTCATATGTAGAGACGAATTTAAATCGGCAGGTTGTCCTTGGCTACATGTTTCTTTCTGCTCCACAAGCAAGGCCTTGGGTGAAACTATTTATCGACACCCAACAACCTAGGCCTAGGAGCTTCTTCAACATGATTACACAGGTAACACTACCGTGTCTGATATTTGAATATGCATATGGATTGTGCTAGCTTTTTTACATACCAAGTTTTCTCAGTATTATTTTGGACATAATACTTCACTGGTTATTTGCTTTAATTTGCTCTTAAATGTAGCCTGCTTCAAAAACTGGAAGGTTATAAGCCTGGTTAATATGAACATTCACCGTTTTGAAGTTTAAAAGACCAATTTATTATATGAATTTATATCATATAATTATTATACCTTTTGCTTACCACTTCTTAATACTTACAAATATGGCTTTGCTTAACCCATTCTTACATATTCCTACACTTTTTCTACATCTATCCTCTCCTCTTGTTCTTCAATATTTCTACTAGAATTATACCTGTGCTTCGTGCAGGATATGGCATTCCATTTTCAACGAAAAGGTTGTGACAATGCAACTTCCGTGATGACTGAAAGAGCAAAACAAATACAGAAGAATATGGAGAATCAGCTAATATTTCAAGAAACCAAATTAAAAAAAAATTTCAAGAAGTGTGAGCTCATTTTAAAGGATTGAGTTTACTGTGTATCCTGCGTTCCAAATAACTAGAATCTAGATAAGTAGCAGCAAAAAAGATATAGTAATTCTTTTGGTGTAGGAGAAGAATCTTATATCCAATAAAAGGATATGTATGAAATGGACATTAGACTTTACGTATAAATAATTTATACTAATTCAGAATCTATCATAGCAGAAATTTAATATACAAAAGTGTATTTGATTTCTTATACATGATTTAGCAGTGGAAATAATACTGATACTCAATGCACTAGGATCTTTCTTTCATTTTCTTTGTAACTTATTTAACGGGTGAGATTTTTGTGTTGTTGTAAACAGCAAGGGACCTAGTCTTACCATTTACCTCATAAATCCTTGGTCTCAACTATATTACGATTTAGGGTTTCTTACAAAAGCATATACTTTTAAGCCCACATATAACATTGGAGTCTAACTCATTTTATTAGATCATATTATGAATTATAATATTATTTTTTTATTAAGACCAAAATATCTTAGCCAGATTATGATAAAATAAATAATGTAAGTCCCCACATTGATTTTACTAGAAAATCTAAAATCTCCCACTTGGATTATATTATTTTATTTAAATTTTAAAATGTAAATTTCTTGAAATCGACTCACAAGTTAAGACAACCAAAAACTTCATGGGTCAAATTTTAAAAACAAATTGATCTTGTGACTACTCCAAATACCATTCTGTCCGATAAAATTTTGTAATATAGAAAAATAGCAGTAACTACGTTTATAAAGATATACCAACAACTATATAACATATACTAAATCTTATTGACATGAACTCAATGTGCTACTGTAGCAATGAATAACAACACTTTCTTGATGATCCCTTTTATGTGTTGTTTTCATTTGTCTGTCACTCTATTCTCTACTTTATATATCCCGTGAATGAAACCCTAACTTTTGTAAGAGGATAGATAGTTTGGTAAACCCTTAGGTGAGCTTTTATCATCTATCATAAATGATTTAGTTTATTGGTTATAGTCTTATCTTTTCTTTTATCCTTCGTGGCCTTGATACTTTGGTTGGTTGTCACTATAAAAGCAGAAATTTTTCTAAGTCTGAGAAGATGATAAAATATGTAGTTTTTGTAAAACTATTGAATGGAATAAAAAGGCTTGGTATTGGTTCCTTTAATATTGAAATAACTTAAAACCTATTTTATAATTTTAGAAGTGTATTTGTTATGATAAATAAGAGCCCAAAATTTCATTTTAGTAAAATCAGTTAGCTTTATTCTGGTTTTGAAATGACAAAATTGATTGAACTCAATGAGATTTGAAATGAATGAAAGATACTTTTGAATATGAAGAAAATCCTAACAGAAGTGTTGAAGTTGAGCTTATTGAAATGCTATGATTGTTTGAACATGTTTTGAATATGAATGATCTTGCTCTTGAACTTAAATAAATATCTCTTAATTTTCTCAAAAATCTCTTGTTTTCAAAACTCAAAGTGGCTGCCTAAGAATCAAATTCTTAAAAGAAAAAACTTGATTCTTAAATGAAGAGAAAGTAAAATCTATTTCTTATAATAGGAAGAATCGATTTTGAAGAAGGAGAAGTCAGTTCTTAAGTAGAGATCAATAGTGAAGAATCAATTTTGAGAAAAAAAAAAGTTAGTTCTTAGAAGATAGAAGCTTTAAGATTTGTAAAGAACCGACACCTCAGAGACAGAATTGATTCTAGAGAGATAGAATGCAAAAGGTAGAAAAACAATGAAGAAAGAATTAATTCTACATGGAGAAGATATCAGTTCTTGAAGAACCAAAGTACAATTTAGAAACTTGGTGACCAAGGAAGAGATGGTACAATTGGACAAGAGTGGAACAACATAAATTAATCTCAAATTCAAAATTTGGTTCTAGATTGGAAATTTAAAAGGAAAGGCTATAACTTTGACATTTAGCACTTCACCTAGTTTTGATTGGATCATAATCAAAAGTAGGTCAGAAGTTAAAAGATTGGAGCAAATAGCACAATAGTTAGGTAGACAAGGCAGTGTCGTAGCCTTTGAGGGCTAGTGCTCTTGCGGTGCCCTTGTTCAACCAAAATTCACCATGGACTAGCACAACGCCAACATGTATTGCTTCGATCTGCACTCTTCGATCTTTTAAATTAGAGAGCTATTTTTTAAGGATTAAAGAAAAGCTTTTGAGTCTAAAAAAAAAAAAAAAGAAGAGCAAACCTCATTTCGGGAAAAAAAGGTTGAAAACAAAAAAGAAAAAAAAAAGAAATCTTGAGGATCAAGTTTGGAAAAGCTATCGCTACTACTTTCACCATCTAGATTTAATTTTCTCTCTTTATCTCTCTTTCTAGAAATGCTTTATTTTGCTG